TTTTATTTACTTTTTTCAATCCAGCAAGGAAAGTATAGGAACCATGTTTTTTTTTACCTCGAGCTTTCGGCCGATCTTTACGTTTTGGGGTCTCTTGAATTCGTTTTGGCCATTTTCGGGTTGATGTCCAGTTATTTGTATGGGTATGTGTATATACAATAACTTAAAAACGGATAGAAAGAAAAGTACCAAATTATAAACTTGAGATTTAATCCATGCGTTGAGCTAATAGACCTTTTCATCACAATTTTTTTTGTGCGCATGCGTCAGTATTAGCCATCTTTTTCGTTCTGTTTTTGTAAACAAGCATGTTAAAATGCCCACGTGAAAAAAAATTAAAATCGATAAATTATAATTTAAGTACCTATATTCATTTAAAAAAAGGAAGAAAAAGTAAAGTAATAATAAGTTTAGAGTCTTAATTGAAAAATACATTTTTGTAATCCATTATAATTATGTTATCTGTACGGAAAGGAACAACGAAACGGTGTTATTATGTAAAAGAGACACACGGTAAAAATCATTCAAAGGCAATACATATTTTATAAATTTTCCAAAGCCCTGGCTGCAATATCTTAAAAAATTATCAGGCAAAAGCCATATTAAAACATGTTCAAAATGTGCATTAGGTGTGAAAAAATGTGTTCGAAGTGACAACGGTTTTCGATGGATTAATGATGTTACTAAAGATACTTATATTTGTTCACTACATTTTCATAGAGAAAGTTGTCCAACAGAAGAAAATTCTTGTTTGGTATTAAACAATATTTTAGTAATATTAAATACTACTTCGGTATATACAGTAATATGATTTAAAATGTCATGTTGATCCTCAAAATATTAAATAATTTATTTTATTAACTTTCATGTTAAGTGTTTTTGCAAGTACTAATAGTTGGTTTGCACAATTAATTAGAATAGAGCTATAATTATTATTTGTTTTCATTAATTTTTTACATGGTTAAGAAGTATTGACACACCTAACCTCTCAATCAGTCCACTTTGTTCCATTGTAACAAACGTCCAAGACACTTCAACCACCTTTTCAACTTCTCACAACTAAGCGCTTCCACAGAGTTATAAAAAAGTTAATCACCATCAACGATTTGTTCTAATGATTAATTTTTCTCTAGAGATAATATTGCTTTCTCAGCCATTGTCGATCAAAACAGTACGAAACTTTTGAATTACCGCTATTTCAACATGGTGGCTGCGCTTGCGCTCATCACATGATGAAAAGGTCTATTAGATTTTCGGCATAGTCGTAAAGCAGGGGCAGAAGTTGAAAAGGCTTTTGTCCGTTCTCGCACTTCATACACAGGATTTGACTGTTTTGCCGCGTATTAAGTGAACGCGAAATAGATGATTTCAACGGAAGACATCTTGAAGTTGCAAGGTCATTGTAAGATCTTTGCGCCATCTATAAGTTTACATAACAACTAATAAAATAAAAAAGAAAACTGTAAATTATTATTTTGGCAATCTGTTTAAGGTTACGGCGTCGGTATTTATTTTTTTTTCTTTTTTGTCTTCATTAGTTGTATGTGCTCAGTTTTTCACCATCTCTATCTACTTAGTGCCAGGTCCCAGAGTCTTCTTTTTCTTAGTCATGTGTCATGTCAAAACTTGTAAAAACATAAAACAAATTGAGGTTACAATCTCTGGTTTTGTTTTTGAATTATTTTTTGCATTTATTTTTAAAATACTAACTTAGACACACAAAGAAAATGATGAAAAGTAAAATTAAAAGGTAGGTGTCACCTTTTGTTTACTACTTTAAATTTCAAAGTGAATATATGTATTTATCATTGTTTTTATGTATTATGTCCTGTTGTTACATGCATAAATATTTACAAAAACCCCTAAGTGTGTACTTCTTTTTAATTTGTTAATTGCTTTAGTGGTTGCTGGAAATGTTGTGTGAATCAATGTTCCAACACTTCTCGAATGATGTCTTTCCTCCTCTTTCCCAAGAACCAGAGTAATGACATTAGTTTTGATGAGTAAACCTAATATAACTACCACCGAGTTCGAGAAGTAGCAAGCCATGTAGGTCTAGATTCCAGATCTTGGCGATAGTGAGAGTGAAAACTGAGCCCATACAACTAAAGAAGAAGGCAAGAAAAAAAGAAATTTACGCTGACGCTGCCGTAACTTTGGACAGATTGCCAAAATAATAATTTACAGTTTTCTTTTTATTTTATTAGTTGTTATGTCAACTTATAGATGGCGTAAAGATCTTCCAATGACCTTGCAACTTCAAGATGTCTTCCGTTGAAATCATCTATTGGCTTAGAAAATTATTTTATAAATGCTAATAACAATTTCGCGTAAATAGTTTAATAAATTGTGAATAGCTGCTGAAGTTTTTTAGAATTATAATTTGGGATATTATTGTTTAAATAATTATTTGTATCCCATTTAAATTATTTGGTATTATTTTTATTATACGATAGGACCCTGTCGAAGAAACAACACCGCGAATTCTCGTAAGTCGTCAGACAGGGTTTGACGTTTATCACTTCTCTACCTACCAAAAGGCTTTCCAACTTCTGTCCCTGCTATAGCATCTGGTAGGGTACTTTATAGGGGACATTTTTCTACCCTAAGGTATATTTCTGTAAACAGAAAATTCTTTCAATGTTGTAGATTTTTGTAGATATTTCAAATATTATGTTTCCGAGTAGGAAATTGCAAGATCTATCAAAATCAAGAAAAAAAAAATTGGGGTTGCTATTTAAAAAAAATTTCAATGACGTCACTGCCCAAAAATGGGAAGTGGGGGAAAATTGAATTTTATTTAAGAAATTGCGCTTTAAGTAAACAAAATTGACCTGTCCGAGCATTTTTTCGAAAAACCAACTACTTCCATTATAATGAATTTATTCCTTTCATTTGAACCATACTGTATACTTGCTTGGCAGATCTAAAAATAATAAAGTATTTAATAATGTGATGATTTTTTTAGTATTTTCAAGAGTACATTTTTATGTATTCCTATTTTTTTTTTTTCAATTTTTATTACTTTTCTATGTTCCAAATTACTTATAAAATATCGTAGATTTATTCATGTAAATACTAGACATTATAATACTTGTAACAGAGTTTATATATTTACAAAAAGTAGTCATTCATTCACAAAAATGTACTTATATTACAATTATTTACAAGACATATAACAAGTAGGTAATCCTCGACCAAATAAAAATAGTATTACAGTAAATACATGTGCACTACCCTTCTAAATAGTTTTAAATGTTATTAAGTTTTAATTTTTAAGGTAGGCAAATTGGATAAACTCGTTTTATACAATAACAAATTTGCTATTTCTCAGGTAATACATAATTATACTGTTAGACAACCTTAATGACCTGAGATAAATGTTTTTACTATAAGGTGTATTGCTCCATATAAACTGTAACTACTATTAAATCAAATTATAAATAAAGTCTTACATATCTTTCTGTCTTTTATAAACTGAGTATTGTTAAAAAATGCAGTAATCATCTCGGTAATCATATCTTGGTTTACAATGGGTAAAGCACTCGAATCAACTTTTATAAATCCAGCTGACAAACTTATATTAATAATAAAATTAAACCAATTAGCAAAGACAGAAGAAATAAATCGAGTATTGAGAAAAAAGTATACAAAACAAAAAACGAATGTTAGGTGGTGTCAATTTTAAGTGTCACTTAGATGTGCATTCACTTCGACATGTGACTTCGACATTCTGTGTGTCGCTTTGTTCGCTGGCTTGGTTCTGTATAACAAAAAAAAAAACTTCGACACAAGCTGATTGGTCTATTCCCGATGACGTACACATTTTAAATTTAAATTGGTTTTAATTTAAACACTTTTGGCTTTTTTAACAAACTGATTATGTAGAATAACTTGTATAGCGACTAACTATTACAATATAATTTATAAAACAGCATATCTCACATGTGAACATGGCCCATTATTCTTTACACCATAAACCACTGATCTGTATTATTATAATACAGATCAGTGCCATAAACACATGTATAAAATGTATTTACAAATATACACACTTTTCTTCTAATATCCCAATGCTGTAATGTAATATATATGCGTGTCAATTTAGCTCTATTAAACGTCCGTCTGTCCGGTCACCTTATAGATAACATCTCCTTTTAATTATACTGTGAATATAAAAAAATGGGGTCACCTTATAGGTAACAGTATATCTGGACAGAAGTCGTATATAGAAAATAATATCTACCACGTTGATATCTTTTATAGTAGGGACAGAAGTTGAAAAGGCCTTTGACAGGTAGAGAGGTGGTAAACGTCAAACCCCGTCGGATGACTTCAAGAATTTCGCGGTAATGTTTGTTCGCCATAGTCGTCTCATAGAATAAAAATAATACCAAACCTTTTAAATTATTACCGGCGGAATCGGGCAAATGTTTCTATTTATGGGTTACAAACCATTATTTAAATAAGTAATACTATCTCAAATTATAATTCTACAGAATTTCAACAGCTATTCACCATTTATTAAACTATATACGTGAAATTTTTATTAGCATCTATAAAATAATTTTCTACGTCTTTGTCTCGCGTTCATTTCGGTTAGCTCCGCATGAAACTGAAATCCTGTGGGAGAACTGGCAAAAGCCTTTCCAACTTCCGTCCCTGCTATACAGCTGATCAAAATATACCGGGTGTTCAAATTAAAACGTTACAACTATACCTTAAAAACTATCAAATTTTGAACAGATGTTGTATATCTACATTTTTGGCTATATTGGAGGAAATTAATATCTTCTTTGCAAACGTTCCACACATACATGTATTACATTCAAAATAATTGGCATGCCTACAAACTCGGGTGTTTGTCCGAATTATTTTCAATGAGGGTTGTTTTTAAATTTTTAATTGTTAAAACATTGAAAGAAAAACTACGCTTGCCTCTATCCACTTTACAAATCTATTCCATAACAAATTTACGAAATGCAATCAATTTTATATAGCTTACCAATGCAGGCATCAATGCAACAAACATCACATTTGCCACTCTCACCATGGAGAGTGACAAATACATTTGCGTCAGAGAAAAGGTCGGCGAAACATCGCAGGTCGTCATCATCGACATGGCCGACACTGCTAATCCAATCAGGAGACCAATTACGGCCGAAAGTGCAATTATGAATCCAGCTTCTAAGGTCATTGCTCTTAAAGGTAAGTTTTTATTAAATTATTAAGGTTCATCAATAACACTAAGCAGATAATGTTAATTAAGAGTGAACAAAAGTATGTACAATATTTCTTCCTAGGTAAGGCAGGCGTAGAAACTCAGAAAACTCTTCAAATTTTCAATATAGAAATGAAATCCAAAATGAAAGCGCATACAATGTCTGAAGACGTGATTTTCTGGAAATGGATCAGTCCGAACACTTTAGCTCTTGTCACTGAAACGTCTGTTTACCATTGGTCCATGGAGGGTGATTCCACTCCACAGAAGATGTTTGACAGGTACATTCCCAACCTATATTTAATTGTATTGTATTAAACCTACTTCACATAAGGTAACTTACCCCTTAATAATCACACCCCAGATTATTTTAAAAACCATGAAGTGGTATCTCAAATAAATTTGAAAAGACATTAATTAAATATTGCCAACTTAAAAATGTGAATAGTGAAATGGAAACTAATTGAATATTAATGATCTGTGAATTATTTAAACATGGATTATTCCACTTGGAAAATGCCCCAAATTATAAATCGCTATATGAGATTTGATTTGTTATTTAAAATCATTTAAAATAAATGATTTCAACGGTTGCCAGAAATTTAAATTTCATGAAACTAAATATCTAAATAATTCCAAAAAAAAATTTATCCACTGATATGGTGGATCTCGATAATAAATTGACAACCTAAATCTCATACGCCAAATAACCCAGTAGGTTATATGAAAAATTCCCCCCAAAAATAATAAAATAAAAAAACTTAAAGGAAAATAGGATAGTAGAAATAGAAGTAGAGTAGGATACCTTTCTTTTTTAATTAACCAGCATTAAGTTTTGTAGCTTCCTTGATCAGGAACTATGCCTAAATTAATAAAAAAAAGTACTAAGAAAGTGAAAAGAAAGATAGAAAGAAACTCTGTAATGAAGTAGTCTGAAAGTCACTTCGTATTTACTGTATTATTAGTGAATCAGGTTTAATATTTCATAAAGTAGCAAATTTTCAAACTTCTCAAAACGCAAATTATTACCTACACACCATGCCAGGAATGCAAGGATTTGCAAAAAAATAAATATAACCCAGTAATCAGCGCCCCATTGATTTGTCACACGTTTGAGAGAAAACAGTGAACAAATTAAAATAAATTAAGTCACTGCAAATAATCTACAAATTTACGCAAATCAATGAATCTCTGCTCACTGGAAAGACAGTATTAAATTATGAGGCGATAAAGGTTAAAATCCGTTGCAAGAGTTAAAACAAAAAATGAACCACTTCAAATTACGAGGCAATAAAGGTCAAAATCAGTTGCCCGAGTTAAGACGTAAAATGGCTTTTTCTCGAAGAAAAAAAAAACTAGAAATAGCTGAAAACTTCCTTGTTCAACTTACCAATGATATAGACCTAAATTTGTGGAATATACATTAGTTAATCACTAAATTCCTGCAAGAAATACCCTTAATCGATAAGCAACGCTCTAATGCAGAGATTCGCCAACAATTTACCTTAAGAACAATAAAAAAAGCTTCTAGATTACCTATTGCTAAACATTAAACCATCACTTCGATAACCTCACTTTGAAAAAAATAAAACTCTTCAGAGATAAGAGAGAAAAGACAGAGGTGGGATGAATTTACAAAACGGAAAGCTACCGGCTTTTCGTTTTCCATAGCTTTTATCACCTTCTTCTCCCTACCTCTGGCGTTGCGCATCGAATCCAACGCTAAACACCTATACACTCGAAAAGTCCATTTAAATATTAAATATAAAAATATGAAATAAATATATGAAAAAATAAAATCCTGAAATGCTCGTTACAGTCTTACAACCCTTAGACACACTTCTTGAACGGTTTTCAATATTAAAATTAATGTTGGGAAGTATGTTTTTCCCTAAAGCTACGTTTAAAGTAAACCGCGCCAATACGGCAGATTAGTATGGGCCTTAAAATTTCAACTTTCACTACATTACTGGCTTTATATTGTGACAATTTTATTATAGTTATTTTATTATTGATATTTTAAATGTACCATTTAGATCGTTTATATCTGCAGTTACTTTAAACAAATAAATAAAAAAGTAATACAAATACCATCAATAATACGTAATAGGCAATTCCAAATTAATCATATAATATTATGCCATAATGAGGGATGACATAATGACTATACAACAAAATTTCGATAAACACAACCAAACTTATACGAAATCACCCAGTATTTTACAGAAGTAAGATATTAAAGATAAAAATGTCCTTGGATATCAAAAGATAGTTTATTTTAATGTCGTTGAAGAAGTGACACCTTGTATCTACACTTTTGACCAAATTTTATTTATAAGCATGAAAATTTTAGGGTTAAATGGTAGAGCATGTTCTGTTAATGGTCATACATTTACAAAGGATTATTTTTATTTTTGTTGTAAAATATCTACCTACTAAATTTTGTATTTTTTATGGAAATAATAAAGACATTATTAATTACAGAAAAATTCGTATAATCTTTTATGTGAGCCCCTGTATGTAAGAAATCTGTATTCTTTAAAAACATAATATATGATTACTTATGTCATACTAAATGTGAAATTTTTAATACGTTTTTTGTCTCTCCTAAAAAGTTGTCTTATCAACAGATTCGACGACGACGACGACGATATTTTATTACAAAAATTGAAAAATAAAATTCCTTGTATTAAATCAAAAACAAAGCAAGATGAGTAATTTTATAAAAGCAACTTTATAAATAAATGCAAATTCTAACTAAAAAAAATATGGACTTCTTGAAATTTTTAATAATCTCTATTTCCACCTCTTGCCTCAATGCAAGCACTAATTCGTCGGGCCTACTTAATATGAGATTGTCGATTTCCTCTCATCCATTCTTCAAGAACCACTTGAATCAGTTGTTCTGTTTTTCCCAGGTTGTTTTGACGAGCTCTAATCTTTGTTTTTAGCATAATCCACAAATGCTCAAAGTGATTAAGGTCGGGGGAACAAGTACGCCTGTCTAATACTCTTAACATCCTGAGTCTCCAAAACATTTTTGGCGTATCTGCTAGAGCTGTAAAAGTAACGAGAAAATCAATACCCGTATGTATTCGTTACTTCAAATCTGACTACCGTATAAAAATATTCGTTACTCGTTAGTTTCGTTACTGTGATACGTATCTAGAGAACATGCAGTGCGTGGGCCTCGCACACGTCTAATGCGGATGCGGAATTGGTGTCGGTAACAAATCGTACGTACGGATTGCTTCGGTTGGTACTGCCTAACCATATGCCTAACAGGGGGTGCGATGAGATTAGATATCGAATCGTCGGTTAATTAAATACGTAGCAAATTTGTAATTAGTAACAAAGTCGTGTAGTTTACTGAGCATGAGCAATAAGCACTGACGTGAAGTTTTGCAAAATAAAATATCGTCAGACAGGTTGAACAGAAACAGATATATTTTTCTAACACACTAGTAGAAACAATAATAATACTCCATAAACAAAAACATATTATATTCTTGCAACACGCTAACAGAAAAACAACTATTATACTATTCTATAAAACTAAAATAAATAAATAAACAAAAGTACGTTGCGCATTAAGGTCACACTCGCATTTCGCATCGGGTCGCCTCACATCGTGTCGCCTCACATCGTGTCGCCTCACATCGTGTCGCCTCACATCTCACATCGTGCACACCGAAACGTTATGTTTGTGCGATATGCGACAATGCGGATGCGAGTAACGAAGTAACGAAATTTAAAATGCAGTAACGAATTCGTATTTCGTATCTGACCGACTACCCGTTACTGAGTAACGAATACATACGGTTTGCCACAGCTCTAGTATCTGCTAGTATGCACTGGGACATTATCCTGCATATATAAAAAAAATTCCAAAAGCACATCGGTAAAGTCGTATTATGGGATGTAGCACCAAATGTTCATACCTATGCACAGTTAAGTTTGTTGCGTGAGGATTAGGAGAGTTCTTTCCAGTAGCATCATCCCGTTCCAAAACATTGTTCTTCCTTTATATTTCGGAACCGGTCGGGCAGCTTGAAGCTTGGCTTATCTTCCATGGCCTCTTAAAACACGGATTCATCGGTCAGATTGGTTCAGATTTATTTCGTCCGAAAAGTAGACATTTTGTCATTCTTCTTTCGACTAGTTTTGGTGCAACTCTACTAAACAATTATTTGGCAATAAGTGGTTTCCTAATCCTTTCCACTGATATACTTATTCCCGTCGCATGTAGAAGTTATCTTTGAAATTCTGGATGAGTTACCGTTGGATTTCTTCTAGCTGTTTGAACTAAAAATCAGTCTTAGTGATCGGTAGTAACTCTTCGCAAATTTTTGTTTTTTAGATTTCCTATTTCGAAGAATATTGAATAGGTTTTTGAAACCATCTGTGTATGGACAATGGCTCTTTGGGACATACCTTGCTCTCTGTTAAAGCAATAATTATTCTTCCTCTCTGTATATCTGATAATCCTACAAAAGACGTTTTTTAATTTTTTTTTTAATACAATATACAAAATCTGCGATGTTACTTCTAAAATCATAAAATCAACACTACGGCAAATAATCGTATATTTTTAGGACCCAAACAATTTTATCAGTAAAAAACGTTCTTTTATTTTAAAGTGATTTGTTAATGAAAAAATGTTTTTGTAAAATACTGAGTGATTCCATATAAATTTTGTGTGTATATCCATATATTTAATTCATACATTTATATAAAATAATTTATCGTTCCTATTCCTAAGTATGTTGTATGTTAATATTCAACTCAATTACAGACACTCTTCTCTCAACGGCTGCCAAATCATCAATTACCGCACAGACCCCAAACAAAACTGGTTACTGCTGGTCGGAATCAGCGCTCAACAATCGCGCGTCGTTGGAGCAATGCAATTGTACTCAGTGGAGCGGAAGTGCTCTCAACCTATTGAAGGTCACGCTGCCTCATTCGCCACATTCAAGATGGATGGAAATCCGGAAACTTCGACCCTGTTTTGCTTCGCCGTCAGAACCTTACAAGGCGGAAAATTGCACATTATCGAAGTTGGTCAGAGTCCGGCCGGCAATCAACCGTTCACCAAAAAAACGGTCGACGTTTTCTTTCCACCGGAGGCACAGAACGATTTTCCCGTGGCCATGCAAGTGTCTGGAAAGTACGATGTTATCTATTTGATCACAAAGTACGGGTACATTCATATGTATGATATCGAAAGCGGTACTTGCATATATATGAATCGGATTTCTAGTGAAACTATTTTTGTGACAGCACCTCACGAGTCAACGGGCGGTATTATTGGTAAGTATTTACGATTTTTGTTGACGGAGCCATTACTATATAATTTTTCAATTTCAGGTGTTAATAGAAGAGGTCAAGTACTTTCTGTTTCTGTTGATGAAGAAAACATAATTCGGTACATCAATACTGTATTACATAATCCCGATTTAGCTTTACGTTTAGCTACTAGAAATAATTTGGCGGGTGCTGAGGAACTTTTC